CTTGCCACTAATTGTGCCACCAAATGTGGCAGCAGTAGCAAATGCCGTCCCCCAATGCTGTCCACGCCGGTTTATCTGCAAGTTTTCTTCAGCCGAGTCGTTGATGGCTTTTGTCATTACATTTTCATGGCTTATTTTAAAATATATACACAAACCGACAGACAGTCCAAGTTTGATTCTTAACGAGCTGTTTGTTAGCATCTGCCACAGAATCCTCCTGTTTCCTGATCCCTTTATGCTGTTTGTGCTTGTGCTGCTCCCCGAATTTGATTTGGCCCCAAAAGGTAGGCAACACTTTTGCAAAATACAATGCAACTTCAATGAAGAACTAACACGCTAACAGCTAACGTGTAGCTTGCATAAATTATTTGCAGCATGTGTGTTTCTTTTTGTTTGTTAAAAGTGTGTTTATTTGAACAAGTTTGTGCAACATTTTTTTTAGCAAGTCTTAACTAGCTTAGTTAGTGCGAACTCTATTGTTGGCACTTACGAAAGTTTGTCAAAGCTTAACTGATTTCCCTTTGGAATATCCTTTCGCTCAAGCTACGTCCCATCTTTTTTTTTTTTTTAAATATATAATTTTGGTGAACAATTTGACAAAAATACATTATGCACTTTTTGGCTATTCTTCTAGTTGCTCCTTAAAAATTAATATGAAAATTAATATTAAAAAAAAAAAATTCTCAATATAATAATATTTTAGAATTTTATATATTTAAATGTGACAAATACTTGGTCAATTTTTCTCCTTCCTCTTCTGCCAAAACGCAACTCATTTTTATAAGATTTAACTTTTCTAGTATTTTATATATTTTTTTTATTTATTTAAAATCCACAATAAATTCATTTTCTGGTCTCGACTTGTGCTCTTTATTAATTAAAACATTTCATTTTAATTTATTTAAAACATTTTTCTGATCACACACTTTTGGAAATCTTCCCAAATATTTTATTCACTTTTTGTAGCAAAACTTTTGTACGCTTAAAATAATGAAAATAATTTTTAAATTTTAACTGATCTCTGTCAATATTTATTTTGAGCTGCAGAACTCTCGATTCCAACATTTTATAATGTTTTTTCGCAAGCTTTCAACTTGATTAACACTTGACTCATTGTCATCAGATAAATATTACCTAGTTTTGCATACGCCAGCTTTTAGTGTGTTGTGTTTTCTGAATAGAAAAAAATAGAAAAGAACTCTCACTAATAAAAAGCTTAATGAAATGCTGCTCAAGTGTGTTACAATGTAAGTTGATTTTCTCACTTTTGTTGCCACATTCTTCAAAAACTCTCTCTACCCAATTTACGATGCTGTTCCACACTCTAGAAACTTGGGTTTTTTCTTTGGCTGGTTCTTCAAATACGCCACATTCGCATCATTCGCATCATTCGCCACATTCAACTTGACCAGTGCAAGCTGTTGCATCTTAAGTAGCACTCGACACTGTTTCTTTCCCATTCTCATTCATTCACTCAGGCATTCATTCATGCATTCGTGCATGCACTCACTTATTCAACTTCTCCTCACTTCTCTTCGTTTCTCTCACTTGAATTCAAAGTTTTTTGTTTTTCTGCTCGTTTGTTGTTGTCAACTTTTTAATTACGTTATGTTCCTGAAAATGTTTATGACTGCCAACTAACAAATGCCAGCAAATTCAGCTGTGTGTTTGTATGCAAATCTCTCTCTCTGTGTGTGTGCGTGCTTGTGTGTGTATGTGTGGTGTAAGCCGCCTTTTGTGTTGTGCAATGGCAAAAGTTTGTACACAGAGCGCTTTAGAGTAAGAGTTTGTAGAGTTTTGCGGGTGTATCTATAACTGAAAGTATCTCAATGTTGCATTCGTTTATTGCAGTTGAAATCTTAGTTTGAATATAGTTTTACCCAAGGGATGCCCATTTGCAATAAATGTGCAATAGGGTAACATAAAACTGTGCAGAAAGTTGTAAAACCTGATGGCTATAGTTGATAGGAGTTGAGGAGTGTGAATGCGCTAAATATAGTTAACTTTTATGCATATCATGTGTAATATACTTAAGTCATAGGTGTCTAAAAGTCGGCAGGTCGCCGGTTCAAATTCAACAGCACTTGTCAGTTACTTATTCAAAGACGAACGCTTTAAGGTCCGGGATTTAATTTATTATATAAAAATAAAAGCTATTTTGCTTTAATTAATATTTTTTCTGCAATATTAAATAAAAGTTGAATTTATTAAAATAAAAATTTAAACTGTTTTGCTTAAACTTTTTTTCCTATTTATTTAAAAAATTACTTTGGTATAGTATTTTTTTTTCTAAAATTAAATAAAAATTTAATTTATTTAAAAATATACAATTACAATATTTAATTAAAATATTATTTATTAAAATAAAATTGCAAGCAATTTTGTTATTTTATTTTTTTTGTTGTCCGATATTTTAAAACAAAATTGTGTTTATTTTTATTTTAATATTTTTTTTCCGTAATATTTAAACAAATTTTTAGTTTTTATTATACTAATTCTTTTTCATTTTATTTAATTAAGTAATCTTTGTTTTTCTGTCAGGGTATTAAAACTGCGGCACTTTAAAGAACACAGTTCTTATTTGTGTTAATTGAATTTTATTATTGCAAGAACTGGAAGTTTATGGGCCTTTGTTGGTTGCCAGCTTTTCGAGTTGCCTTTCTGCTGTTTAAACGCACACATAGTTGACTTTGCTGGGTGTGAGTGTGTGTGGGTGTGTGTGTATCAAATAGCAATTACCCAACATGGCAACACACACTCACACTCACACCCACCCAAGGAGAGGGAGAGGGGGGGGGGGGGGGGCTGTTGAGGCAGTTGCGGAAAATTGTAGAGCCCTCGCTTTATTTATTTATTTTTTCTCAATATTATCTTATATTTACTTGAACTTATATTTGCTCTGTGCTGTTTGTTTTGTGCATGCCATTGGGTTGACTTGATTTCTTGACATGCTTCCCCTTACGTGGAAATATGATCAATTTTTACAAAAATTCTGAAAATTGCCACAAGCCACAAAAAAAAAAAAAGCTAAGGCAAAGACAAGAGAAATAATCTGTTTGTAGTATATCGAGAGCTCTTGTCGTCGGTTTATTGAAATTGCGTATTGAATTGCAATGCGAATGGAAGTATGGAGAAAATCAAAGGCCGCCGGCTAGACACACGCTTCAAGGATGTGCTCTTTTATTTTTTTTGATTTGCAGGATATTAAAATTGTGAGTTCAACTTTGTGCTTATTGACATAATAATTCAATGATTGTGAAATTGAACATGAAATCGTTTGCTGACTCAGGCGTAAAAATTCAAAGTTTTCTATGGTAACACAAAGGTTAAGAAGTATTTTTTGGGGTTAAGCGCTTGTGCATTGAAAAATTTTTAAGTGTTATGTATATTAGACTCGTTTCTCAGAATCAGAGCAAGGCTATCAATGTCATCAAGGCGTTCAGGTTATTATTTGCTCTTTCTCAATATTTATCAGGCAGCTTAGCTACCGGTTATTTAATTGACATGAATGTTACTACTTCATCTTTTAATGGAGCTTACATTTGGTTAAAAATGGTTAATTGACTACGAATTTGTATTGTTGTCATCTCTAAGGAAATCTTATTAAAAGTAAGAGTGTTCTCGCCGAGTGTGTCCGACTAGGTGATACCCTGCACTTTTTACAACCAAAGCTAAATATAAATAATTTTGAGTGAGGGTGTCGACGCTTTGTACGAAAAAAAGCACACATGATTCTTTCGCAGCTGGCTATAGGGTATCATGAAGACGGGCACAAACCATGCACATACTCAAATCGTAATTGAAGTTCAAGATATTTTCAATGGAAACCTAAGTGAAATTAGCTACTTAAATGATTATAAAGCAGTCGTCACGACCATGCTTTAGCTTGGTTAATTAATAGTCCCCGGTTGAATTGCGAATTTATTTTTAATTAGCGGTAAGCGGGGCATAACCGTGTTGCTGCACAAGTATAAGTAGGTCGTGCAAGAATATTGTAGCTGCAACCATATCTGAGGCAGAGCACATATTAAATGCCCGTGACTGCGTGTCAACATGATGTAATTGCACACAACACAACAGAGATGTGTACACACACACACACACACACGCACACACATAGCGTGATGCTGATTGCATTGTCCTTTCGATGTCCTGGCCACTCGTTGCGGTCACGTTGCTCATTTTCGCATAATGTTTTATGCACAACTAAATACAAATGTGCTTTAATGAGCGGCGAACTAGCCGACCAGCTGACCAGTCATGCGGTTAATTTATTATGCAAAACGGGGTTTCACAAACGAGAGAGAGAGTGCTATGCTAGACACTCTGAAAACTAATAATACGCCATTGTCCTTACACACAACAATTACTTGCACGCGTAGCTTACACTTTAGCATATCAGCAGCGGCTACTGCTGCAGTAGGTCGTTAAATGCAGCAGCCAAAAATTCATGTTGCAACATAAACGTGGCATACTTTTTGGCATTGCAACGGCAAACGGCACTTGCCAGGGGGCTTAGTGCATGGCAACCTAAAACATTTATCATGGCCAACATGTTGTTGGCCTCTTGATTAACACCTTAAAAGCCAGCGAACAGCTCAAATAAATGTAAAATTTCTGAAACTGAAAGCCCAGGCGCTCGCATACTGTATACCCTGTAGCAGTCAATGGGCCACGGGGGGGTTGACTTAATCATTTAGTCTAGAGTATGAAAAAAAGATACTAAATCTCCACTTGATATTGATATCAAAGCTTTATATCAATAAGAAATATAGCAAAAATATATATCTTTATATATATGTATCTTATAAAAGTATGACAATATTATTTATAGAGCGCGTGGCTTTAAACGGGAATATCCCTAATATGTATATAGTTTTCCATAAATATGGACATATTAACAAATAGAGGGCTTTAGAAAATTAATAAAAAATAACATATATTTATGCAAGATTTATTATATGATTTGTGAAAACTCCTCGAACGATATTTGTTGGATTCTAATCTTGATGCGGGCGCAGCTGATGCAGTTGCTCGACGCTGGGGCCCTCGATAACGGCTGTTTTTGTTATAATATCGTAGGTGGTGCGATTGTTCTTCAAAAATATCAATACCACACAGATGGGAAAGAAGACGGTCATGACCATGTTTTTAACAAATGCCCGCAGAAAAGATCTCATAAAACACGGCGTTTCGCCAGGATAAACCAGGGCCCAGAACGGTTCGCGCTGTGATTGGAATATGAAATGGGGCGCCGCATTTAGACGCAGCGGCAACATCGCCTCAACATAGACGACACGGATATTCATCAGGGATTTGCCGGGCGTGGCGCCATTGTTGTAGGTCGTCCAGAGGCACTCGTAGAAGCAGACAATCAGCTTGGTTAGCAGTATGATGGCCAGCAAATTGTAGGACAGCGATATAATGTCCATGGATAGATCGAACAATGTCGTAAACGTGCTCTCCTCCTTGAGGGTTTTGCTCAGGATGCTCTTCTCGAAATCGATATTGAACAAATGAAAGAACAGAAATGCGACAATCACCTTCAATATAAACGTGATCAGTGAATCCACAATCTCGGCGAGAGTGCGCTTCCAAAAGGGCGCCACCTGCACTCGAGTACCGCCAAATCGACGCACCAGCTCCCGTTGATGCATATCGTCCAGCACGCGAATCGCATTGAAACGCGGACGCACAGACCTCGGTTCCAGTGCCATTGGCTGGTACAGCGCACCAAAGTGGAAATAGTTGTCGTTATAGTTGAAGATGAGAAAGTTGGGCAACATTTGGACTGCCCTGGCCTGTTGGGCCCATTCGGCCAGGCTGGCGAAATATGCCTCCTTTGGGCTACACGCTTTGGGCTTCTCGTATGCTGTCTCCTCGGCGTGTACTTTTTTCTGTGCTGCGTCCATGATTTGCTTAAATTAATGTTTATTTTTGAAGTTTATTTATTCAATATATACGTATACATATATATAAAATTTATATATTCTACTGTGTCCAATTTTTTTTATAGTTTTAGAGATTGACGTGTCGAACAAATGCTAAAGTTTATAAATATGGCAGTCATATTTAAAGCTTGACATAAAAAAATGACAAAATATTATGTCTTCACACTCCTGTCTACAGGGTATCTGCTAGTCATATCATTCATCAACAGGGTATCTCCTAGTCTCATTATTTACTCACACGGGGTGTCTACAGGGTGTCTCCTAGTCTTAACATGTTTCACTCTTATCTACAGTGTATCTCCTTATCGTAAAATTAGTTCACACTCTTGTCTATAGAGTATCTCCTAGTCTCATCATTTGTTTAGACTCTTGTCTACAGGGTATCTTCTAGTCGTGCATTTGTTAACACCGTTTTTTTATTGTTGCTGCTAGTTTGTTGTGTGCATTTAATATTTGTGTTATTTGTATGGCTCGTTGGATATTGTCCAAAATATATACATTCCTGTGTATATTGTATGTGTTTGTGTGTGTGTGTGTGTGTGTGTGTGTGTGTGTGTGTGTGTGTGTGTGTGTGTGTGTGTGTGTGGCACATGGCATATGCGAGTTTCATAAGTCCTGAGCGGTGTCCTGTGTCCTGTGTCCCGATTTAGCCTGGCAGCGCGGCGAACGCCTTTGGATTTGCATGTGTTGCAGTGCGGGATTTGCAGCTGTGTAGAACGTGCCAGAGAAGCAACTAGCCAATGCCAATGTGACGCATACTAAACCCAACAACAGAAAAAACGAACAACAAGAACAACAACAGCGCACGCGAAATTCTGTTTAGCTTAAACGGATTTTAAAAGCCCTTGCAAAACACTTGTGCACACCAAGGATTACAAGGATGGGGCGGTTGCAGCAACTGCTCAATCCCAAGCGAAATGTACTCAGAAATTGACACAAATTGAGAGATGGTCAGAGATGGAGAGGAAGAGAGAGAGAGGAAGAGGGAGAGGGAGGAGAGGCGGTGCAAATGTGTTTTAGGGAAACGATTGCAATAATTTCAAATCTAAAAGACAAAGTAAGGATATGTTTGGCACGCTGAAGATTAAAATATTATTATTATTATTATAATTAACTATAATACATGCATATTATATTCCAAATAATGCTATAGTTATTTACAACAAAAGAACGCTACCGTCTAGGTCTTCAGCTCATAAATTAAATATATATCCATCTAGCCGTGTCCATATGTCTGTCGATCTCAGAACCTTTAGGATATAGAGATTTGACATTTTAAACCCAGTTCCAATGCATGAGCCCGTTCAGTTTTAATCGTTTTAATCATCGTTAAATGGCCCTACTTTCATTAATTGGCATTATCAAATCATCTTAGGCTTGCCTCTCTTCCATTAAATTGATATAAGTAGATAATAAAATTCTGTTCTTTCAGCATATCTTAATACGTATATATTAACGACATTTCACTTTTTGGATAGCTCTTCCCATTTCGCTGAAAATTTGAATGAAAACACATTTCCGCAGGAAGCGCTTTTATTTGCTTTTATAAGGAGATTTTGTAATACCAGCCTCGTGTACAATCTTTTTTACCCATTGTAAAAGTAAAACATATCGCTGCTCATTTCAAAACATCTAAAAATAGTTTTCATACTTTTTATACCTCGCTTCGCTAAAACTCTGTGCGCTGTTTCATTTGTGCAGCGAGCTTTCTATTTCACTCATTTGGACGATTCTATTATCATGGTTTTTGCATTGTTTTAGGGATTCCCTTTGAGCGACTCTGCCAAATACTGTCCATTGTCCTGTTCAGTCTCTGTCTGGTCGCTTGGCATTGTGTTACACATTTTTCATATGCTCTACATGCCTGTCCTCCAATAGATTCACATGGTTAGTCATAAATAAACTGCAGTCCTTATCTCTCTCACTCAGTCTTCCTCCTTTCTCATTTTTCCCTCTCCTCTCTCGAGTATCTCCCTCGCTCTGTGTCTCTTTGTGTTTATCTAACATATTTCGTTTCCTCTTAAGGCTCTTAAAACCTTTGACAAAAACGCAATAGAAGAACGTATTTGAAATGAATGAAAACCAAAATATTTGTCATTGGGTTATGGTTGCCATGTGGAGTGTCATGTAGTTTGCCATGTGGATTGCCAAGTGGATTGTCATGTGGATTCCCAATTGCCAAGTGCGATTTATCGTCTACGCAATAACAAAGTTTCAATTGTTTCGAGCTTTGCGCAAGGTTTTCAACTTTGTAACTTTTTGCGTGTTGCTTTGAATACACTGTTCTCGAAGTATAAAAAGAGTATATTGGCTTTGGCTAGGCAAATATTCGATGATGATGTTCAACTGCTTTAGTCTTAGAGCCAGACTCACCAACTGCCAGGTGGACTACTGCCTGATCTGCTCTAGGGATCGAAAACTTCGCGAAGCTTCTCAATGAAGTCAAATTCTTCGAGTCACGAGCTCTGTCACTGATTTCGGCTGTGCACTGTGAACAGGGTATTTTGCAGTCGGTCGCGGCCAAAATGCTGGCAGTGGGAGGGGGCAACAGCTGGCTTCTCACAAAAAGAAATGGTTACCCGGACTTGTCATTAAAATCATATGGTGCATTGGTCAGAAGCGGGCTGACTGGATAACCAACCCCAGAAAAATTAAAAAAAAAAAATACACTGTCGAAAGTTCAGTTATTGCTGACACTTTTTTCCAACCGCAAAACGGCGTCAGAATACGCCGGAACGTGTTGGCAGAGCTAGTACGGTGCTCATATTTCTCGCAGATACCGCGGCTAGTCAGTGCTTGAACACTCTAAAAATATTTATTAATATAACTTTTATAAGAGTATAACATTTACAAGTTTTTTAACATTTTTAGAAGTAAAATGCATACAGGTTTTTTTGATTTTCAAAAAGAGCTTTTAATGTGCCTGAAATTTGTTTTAAAATGGTTTCAAATGGGCTCAAGAGAGTTTCAGGAGAGTTTCAGAAGGCCTTAGCCAGAGACATAAAGAGTACTAAAAAAAATTTTTAAGGAGTTTTAAAAGAAATTAAATGAAGTTAACATGTTTAACAAACATTTCAAAGGCAGAAATAGTTGAAAAATTAGGAATCGTTTCTATAAAGATAATTAAACAGTTAAAAAAAAATTTGTTGAAAAACTGAAAATATATATTATTATAAAATTTGTATCTCATTTGAAAGTGTTTTTAAATGCGGTTAAAAGTTTAAAAAATTTAAGAAAAAAGTGTTGAGAAATGGTCTAATTTCTTCTATATATATACTTATATCAAATATAGAAAGATTCTAAAAAGTAGATGAAAAGCATTTTAAAATGCTTAGTTTTATGCATTGCGAGGGCAGATCTATTTACATTTAGACAAAAATCATAATGCCCTCAGGCCAAGGGTATTGCAAGTGTTATAAAAATAGATGGGCAACGTCGTCTGGCCGCAATGCAAAAGTTTCCAATATCAGACTGGCGAAAATTCATTCAGTATTCACGAGTATGCACAAGTATTCCCTGGTCTACACTCTGGTCTATGGCGGCTGCTGCTGCGTGGGAGGTCAGCGTGTGGCCAGTGTGTGTGGTGTGTGTGTGTGTGTGTGGTTTGTGTGGTGTGTGTGGGTGTTGGCTTCTAATGCTGTCAGCTCCGGTAGCCGCGTGCATAGAATTTCATGACGTCATTAGTGTTAATGACATCAGAACTGTGCATAATGCAACACAAGTTTAAATATTGCTGCCACACTTTGGCTTTGGCTTCTTATGCCACACATAATGAAAACTTGCATGTTGCAAATGAGCAGCAGCAGAAAAAAAAGAAAAATAAAAAAAATGGTTGGAAAATAAAGGAAAATGTGAACGCTTTCCATTGAAAATAATGAGCCATAAAGTGCACGCAATTACAGTTATGTGCGTGGCTGGGGAGGAGAAAGGATTGCTGTGAAAAATATCTAGAAATTGTGTTGCTTTGTGGTGCTGCCTTTCAGCAAATAGTTGAAAGGCTTTTTCCCCATTCAGGCCTCTATGTGTGTGTGTGTGTGTGTGTTGGGCCTTTTGTCCTTGCCACAAGCTGTTTGCCAAGATGGCAGATTGTATTTCACTCAAAGTTCAGAGACACAATTTTGAGCGCAGTTAACAAAACAGTTTCCAATCTTGAATCATTAATAGGAGACATTCAACTTTCAAAAAGAAACAAAACTCTGTTCTCATTTGCACTTGAAATACAAATTTAAATATTTAAATTGTCGCCTTGCTGATTGGTTTTCTGTTCAGGAGTACAAGAATGTATTCTATGGAAGTTGCCTTTGTTGCACTTGAACTAAATTAGTTTGAAATTTGCAAAGGGTGTATTTCACTTCTATGAACCAGTCTGAAAATTAACTTTAAATGTTTCAAAGTGTGTTCAGTTTTGTGGAAGAGGTTTAAAGTAATTAAGTCTAGTTCGAACTTCTAAAAATGTCAGAGTTATTTTTATTCAATAAGCTCATTTCAAAATAATTCCAAGCTGGTTCAAAAGTATATTGAAAAGGCTTCTTTTTCCGCGAGAGAGAGAGAGCTAGGAAGAAATATTTACTGTAGTTACCCCCTTTAATTCGATATAGACAAAGGTCAAAATATCCCACTCCCATAACTCGGTCAAAAATCAACCGATTTGCACGAGTCTTGTTTTTTTTGTACATAGTTTTCCCTCTAGATTAATCTGGCATTCAAATCTGAATACATAATTTTTAGTCGAAATTCATGTCAAAATCTTACCCCTTAGATTCGTACCTCTAAGATTCGTATATAGACATGACATAGTTCGAAATTTCCCACCCCCATAACTTGGTCAAAAATCAACCAATTTTCATGAGTCTTGTTTATTTTAACATAGTTTTCCCTCTTGATTAATTTGGCATTCAAATCTCAATACATAATTTTTAGTCGAAATTCATGTCAATATCTTAACCCTTAGATTCGTACCT